TGGGTCCCTACCCTTGTGTTACAGAGCTCTCCCAACTACCTACCTCTTAAGTTTAGGTAGGCTGCAAAATCATCTCACTGTGATCTTTTGTTGGCTCTGCTGCTCCAAAATGTGATTTGAGGAGTTATATTATATTAAATTTATTTGGAGAAGAATATCGGGAGAGTTCCAATGGGTTGCTCCCTGTACTCTGCCATCTTGGCTCCACCCTGCCAACTTTTAATTACTTAAGTACAACCTGAAAGTTTCATTGTAGCATGCATGCAATCCTCAGTTATCAAGTGTAGGCCCATGAAACAGAAGTTTTGTTGGGTCTTAAAGTGCAAATGGCCTGTTTTGGGCACTACACTGGAATAGACTGAGTACGTGCTATCAAAGATTCGACTCCAAAGGATTGTGACCAAAGAATGGTCTTATATGGCCTTCACAGGAATAGTGTCTCTTTGGGAGACAAGAAGGCAAAGAAGGTGTGACCTACATACTTTCAAGACTACTCTTACCAATTTAATGCTGGTACTCAATTTACAAACTTAGTCCAACAACTAGCAAACTAACATGCTACTGGAGAAACTCAACTATATTCTCATTCTAATGATAAATAAAAGTAGTTGCATCTGACTAAAAAAGGAGATGAGATGGCCACATAGTAAGTAAGATCTATTCCTGAACACCAAAAATGGCATGCTGGCTCACTTAAACTACACAAGGTATAAGAGAGCCTCCAAAATGCTGGAAGCAACATGGTACAGTGGAAAAAGTACTTGACATGGACTCAATGAAACTGGTTTTGGATTCTGGATTTCCCATTTAAAATCTCCATGACCTCACACAAGACATTTAACACTATGAGGTTCAGGTTTCTCACTGATAAAATGGGAGGAGTTAGAGTGAAAGATCCCTTTGGTCCCTTCCAATTCTATATCCTGTAACAATGGCAAAACATGAATAATCATCACACAGAATGAAAAGGCAAAGAAATGTTGCTATTTGTGTTCATGGAGGAAATATCCACACCATGAGTTAACATAATTTTTTAAAAAGGCTTTATTGATTATATAATAGCTATGTCACACCCATTTTACCTAGGAAAAAGTTACACAAAAACAACTTTCCTTCTTTCTAACCACACTGTCTTGCCCACCCTCCAACCCACTCAACTAAGCCCCCCACCCCAGTTAAGTCATCTACATTCATCCTAGAAGGGACTTTAAAAAATAGAATGCCTTCTCTCTCTTCTTTTCTCTTTCTCTCTCTCCTCCCCACTCTCCCTCCCTCAAATATCTCTCAATCCTATCACCTTCTTCAAAGAGAAGCCAGAGGGGCAGCTAGGTGGCATAGTGGATAGAGCACCGGCCCTGGATTCAGGAGGACCTGAGTTCAAATCGGCCTCAGACACATAACACTTACTAGCTGTGTGACCCTGGGCAAGTCACTTAACCCCACTGCCTAGCAAAAACAAAAAACAAAAACAACAACAAAAAGAGAGAGGCCAGAAATCATGGTTTGTCTCTGACATTGAATCATTTTCTTTTTTTTTTGTCTGATTCAAAGCACTTCCTATTAACTACAAATGGTCCTTTGATTACACCTTATTTCTCATGGTAAAGCAAATCAAGTGCTTGACAAGGTGTTGAGAATAAATGGGTTCAAATTTGGCCTCTGGCACTTACTAGTGACAAGTACCTGGGCACAAGTAAATCACTCCATTTTCTGAGCCTCAACTTCCCTATGAGGTAGGTTACATACAACACATGTTTCAGATGAGGAAACTAACTCAGAGGCCAGGCCAATGGCTTGTCATCAAGCATATGCAGAGGTATTTCAATCCATGTTCAGTGCCCTATCTACAATGCCATGCTAATGTGTGCTTTCAGGAGACAGACTGATGAAGTAGTTGGTTAGACCTGGAGTCAGGAAAACTCGGGTTCAAATCTCACCAGACATTTCAAACATCTCAGTGACTGGAAAGATGGTGACATCGAACACAACAGGCAGCCCAGGAGACGTTAGTTTAGAACATCTAACATTATTAGGCAGATTTCTTTTAGTGACCTTGGTGTTCACTAAGAAAGCTCTGTTGTGTGTTTCATTCAATCAGCATGTCATGCACAGAACTGTCTTGGTAATAAAGACATCTATGATCCCTTCCATTTTAATACTGCTCTTTCCTTCTGTATTTCTGTTAAATTTATATATGTGGTCAGCCAGTCTCCCAATCTCACCTTCTTAAATGCCATTTCCACACCCTTGTGTGTGACATCAGGTGTTAAAATCCAAATATAATGAGGTTTTGCATCAATATTTATAAGAAGAGATCATAAAAGAACCCACTAACATGACTATCCCATTGCACATTCACTTTCCTCTTCCCAGTATCAATTATAAATGCTCTTGAAGCGATCCAGCTTTCTTGGGTCTCATACTAAGCTTTTTTTCAACCAAACCATTAGTTTTGCTGTTTTCTGATTCAATACTGCTTGCAATCTTCTGTTATCCAACTCCATGATGTTTCAGAAATTAGTTCTGCCAACAAGACTCACGAAACCCAACTCTCTTTTTCATCACTTCAAAACAGGAAAAAATGTTTCAAATAAAATAAGGTAACAAAAAAAGGATTTTATTTCTTGCCTTCTCAAAGGGTGAGGGAAGGAGAGAATTTGGAACTGAAAATAAATTTTTTTTTAAAAATTGAAGGAAAAGAAAATCTTAAAACGAAACCCATCAAAAGGAAGAAGCATAGAAGGCCCCAAGTAACGAATATAAGAAATATCCAAAAGCAAAGTAAGAAAGAGAACAAACTTGCAAGAAATCTCCAAAGTGATTTAGAAATTCATTAAGAAATACAAATGAAGTTCAGGCATGTCTATAAGTGGAGATAAGATCTCTGAAAGGACTTTTATACAAACTGATCACATACTAGGAAATAAAGGACTCAAAACAATGTAAAAAGACAGAAATCTTAAAAAATGTCTTTGACAGCCCCCAATTCAATAAAGCTATAATCAAACAAAGGAAATAAAATAATAACAGCTCATGACCTTTATAGTATTTTAAGGTTTGCAAAAACTAATTTTGATCTTCATCTCTGTACCATGCAAGGTAGGGGCTGTTATTATTCCTACTTTATAAGAGCAATTCCCCAATTGACAAATGATCAAAGGATATGAATCTTTCTCTTTATAGAGGAAGAAATCGAAGCTATCAATAGCTATTTGAAAAAAATGTTCTAAATCACTAATAATAGATGAAATCCAAATTAAAACAACTCTGTGGTACTACCTCACATCCATCAGATTGGCAAAACTGCCAAAAGAAAATGACAAAAGCTGGATGTGCTGTGGGAAAATTGGTATATTGATGCATTGATGGTAGGGCTGTGAACTGGTCCAGCTATTCTGGAAAGCAATTTGGAAATATAACCAACACTATTAAACTCTGCTTATCCTTTAACCCAGTGATACTAGTAGGTCTATACCCAAAGTTACCAAAGGAAAGGGCCCATACGCACAAAAATATTTACAGCAGCTCTTTTCATGGTGACAAAGAATTGGAAACTAAGGGGTATCTATTAATTGGGAAATGAATGAACAAGTTATAGTATGTGTATGAATGCAATGAAGTGAGAAATTTTTTCTTTAAATTTTAAAAATAAATAGATTTTAAAAGAAAATTTTTTTTTAGCCAGAGGAAAAGTTTATTGGTGATAAACCACATTGACCAGCTGACGCCCGTAAAGACGAGCGGCATAAGAGGTTCTCAGCCTTGTGGGCCTGAGATGCTCAGCCAAAAGTAAATTTTAAAAAGAAAGAAATGATGAAGGAGAGAGCTTGAGAAAAACCCGAGAAGACTTGCATGAACTGAACTAATATTGAGTGAAGTGAGTAGAACCAGAACAACAACTGATACACTAGTAACAACACTGTAAAAACAAACAACTTTGAAAAACTAAGAAACTGATAAACCCAGCTGGGTGCAGCTTATGTGGGAATTTGTTTTGCTTGACTATACATATTTCTAACAGGTTTAATTTTTCTTGCTTTCTCAGTGAGTGAGGGAAGGGGAAGGTGAAAGAGAATTAGAAACTGAAAATAAAATAAAACTGAATTTTAAAGTTATTTCTGCCAAACACTTGACACTTACTAGCTGTGTGACCCTGAGCTAGTCACTTAACCCCAATTGCCTTAAAAAAAAAGTTATTTCTGTTTTACAGATGATAAAACCAGGCCCAGAAAAGTTAAGCAATTTGACTTGTCCAGAGTCACAAAGCTAGAATGTGTCAAGGCAGGATTTGAATCCAGATTTCCTGACTCTCAAGTCCTACATTCTACTGACTATATCATGTTGCCTCTCATGTATAAAAAGAATAATGCAGACCTAGAGACTAAAAAATGATATCCTAAATGATAAGTGGGTCAAAGACCAAATCACAGAAACAACAGTTACTAATTTCCTATGACGTAAACGCGTACCAGGCAGCTAGGTGGCACAGTGGGTAGAGTGCTGGCTCTGGAGTCAGGAGGACCTGAGTTCAAATCTGGCCTCAGACATTTACTAGCTGTGTGATCCTGGGCAAGTCACTTCACCCTGTCTGTCTCAGTTTCCTCTTCTGTAAAATGAGCTGGAGAAGGAAATGGCAAACCACTCCAGTGTCTTTGCCAAGAAAGCTTCAAATGGAGTCGTGAAGATTTGGACACAACTGAACAATAACAAAAACCTATATCCCTGAACAGTATTATTAACAAAAGAGAAAAGCGAAGTAGGAAGCTGAGAAGACAACTTTAAAAACATAAGCTTTTGCAAATGAGCAAATTCTGAAAAAGCGTCACCCTTAGCTGCCCTTCTCTCTGATGAGATCCAGTGCTCTATGGATCACTTTTATTTCTGGGGTCTTTTGGTCTTCTCATTTTAGCAATAATTTTAATCAAGTGACTTCTCTTAGAAATGGTAATATTATCCTCCCTTACGAAATTCTTGTTTCAGAAAAAAACAAACACATTTACCATTGTCCTTGCTACTGTTTTCTTCCATAGTCATCTGTTCAGCCAGTTCAGAAAGCGACTCATCAATGGTCTGGCTACCACGAAGCGTGAGGGACAGTCTTCTCTTGAATTTTTTCATCCTACCAATTTATAGTCTGGCTTGGAAAAGCCTGAAAAAGAAAAAAGAAAATGAGTTATAGCCACGACTAGTTGGATATTTACAAAACAGTCCCTTCCCGAATCACCGATTCACTAGAAATCTTTACTTAAATAAAACAATAAATTTATTTAAAATAAGACAATATATTCACTCGAAGAAAAGTTCTTATGGCCATTTAGGCATCAGAACGTTAGCTCCCGATGAAGAATGAAAAAGAGAAGTGTACAGTCATTCAGCAACTTTGGAAAAAACAGCATATGGAATGGTCTGTTGTGTCTGCATGGCAATTTCAAGAGTTCTACAGACCCTGGGGGGAGAGGGGGCAGGGCGTGCCAACATTCTGTAAACAGCTAACAGGACGGAGAAAACCCCCAAAAGGTCATACAGCAGAGCTGGAAAAGTCAATGGTGAATGGACTAAGTATATTATAGAATGAATCTTACATTTTCCCAAATAGCTAACTAAGAAGCAAAAACTGAGTGGGACGAACCAATGGTCCAGACATTAGACAGAAATGGAGACAGCAAGAAAGATCCTCAATTCTGTCATGTGCGCTGAACTGCCCTCTCAGCAGCCACATGAAGCGACAAGAGACCTGAATGGATGAATAATCAACTAACTGTAGAATACAGTATTCTAGGACCACTTTTCAGAGACTCATTTAAACATGATCCTTGTTTTAATCAGTCTTTGATACCACCTCTTATCCGTCAGATCGGTTAAGATGACATAAAAGGAAAGTTACAAATACTGGAGATCATGTGGGAGAACAGGTACTCTAATACACTGTTAGTGAAGCTGTGAACTAGTCCAACCATTCTGGAGAACAATTTGGAATCACACTGCAAGAGCTGTAAAATTACGCCCACAGTTTAGCCCAGCAACACTGCCACCAGGTCTATACCCCAAGGACATCAAAGAAAAAGGATCCATATGTAGGAAAACATTTAGAGCAAAGAACTGGAAATTTAAGGGATACCCATTAACTGAGAAATGGCCGAACAAGCTATGGGTTATGATTATGATGGAACACTACTGTGCATTGTAAGAAATTACAAAAGGGGATGGTTTCGGAGAATCCTGGAAGATTTAAATGTACTGATGCAAAGCAAAGCAAACAGAACCAGGACAATGTACACAGTACCAGCAATACTGTGGAGATAAATTAACCTGTGAAGGCCTGAGTTACCTCTAAGTAACTAAGTAACCGATCCACCAAACTCCAAAGGAATCAGGATGTAAAATGGTATCAGCCTCCAGATGGGAGAACTGACGGACTCAGGATACAGATGAAAGCATCTGTTTTCTTTTCTTTATTTTTCTTGCTTTTTTTTTCATAACAGAGTTAATTCAGAAATATATTTTGCACGATCTGGATATGGTACTTCTTCCCTTCTCAGTAGGTGGGGGAGAGGCTGAAGGGAGGGAGAAAATTTGGAACTGTAAATAAAAATATTTTTTTAAAAAATCATCTTTGACAGGAATCTTTCTAAAATATGTAATTTTATATCTTATCCAGTAAACTGAACCTTGTTCACCTTTTCTAGTGAATGATAAAACAAAATCACAGGTAAAACTGGAAGTAATTTTGAAGATTCATTTTATTTAATCCCTCAATATGCAAATAAGAAATGGAAATACAGAGTGGTTAAGTGACTTCCCAAAGATAACAAAGCGAGCTAATTAATGGCAGGGCCAGAACAAAATCCGAGGAAATTGGCCTGTATCACTCTGCTGGTAATGCTGCCATTAGCAGTTATGAAGCTGTTGATGGCCATTTGACTAATGGCATCAGACTATGGAGTAATTTCAGTTTGAGGAGTTGCATTTTTTTTTTAAATCTTTTTTTCTATTCTTCAATGTCAAGCTGTTAGTTGTCACTTTGGGCTGTTATCAGTAAGCCTGCCTCTAAGTCTCCCCTTACAATCAGACTTCAAAATCCTTACCATTTTTTTAAAGGGACTCCTAAGGTCATCTAGTTGAATCTCTACCCAAATCACACCTTCTGGATATGACAGGAAATGGACATCTAACCTCCAACTGAAGAGGTTCAGGTCATGTATAGCATCAATCTCCAGTTATTTTAAATATATGTGTCTACACAGTACACATTTCTTTAGTACACAGACTGCCAAAATAATTTTTATATTTCCCAACATCATCTTTGGCTATTATTTTCCAAACACATAAAACCAATTTTGTTCATTTGGATAGCTTATTCTCAAATAATGTCAATAGAAACCCTGAACAAAAATATTACAATAATATCTCTAAATCAGAAATAGGAAACACCTACAGGAGGAAAACAATCTACCCTCCATAAGTCTCAGTTTTTACTTCCAACTGAACTCCAAACAGAATGTAAGTTTAATAAAACTACATTAAATAATGCATACAGATGCTATGAATCATCTGTATTTTCTTTCACCTACCCTAAACACACTGGATGCCCATTTTGACCTAAATCTTCTGTAAACATATCTGGCTTTATGTAGACTTTTTTAAAAAAACAGGACTAAATTAAACATTAAGTGTTAGTAGTAATAAGCAATTTAACTACTTTAAGAAATCATTTCACTAACCAGATTATCCAGGTAGTATGTTTTATATAAGAGCTATACAGAAACCAAGCATTTGATAACAATACTACAGAAATCAAATCAACTATGTTCTAGCAAGTTTTTACAGGGTGTATATTTTTTTTTTGGTCCAGATCTGTGACTTTCTTGATAATTTACTAAAACCAAAGAGTACATGCTACTCCAAAGGAAAACATAAAATGAATGGAGTAACAGAATAGCACTATATATTGTAGATTTCCAAGTTTTACAATTATACACCCCAATTTTTTGAGAGGGGACCTCAAATATATGTATGTTTATTTGTAAGTTATGTACATATGCTATTGTATGCATTACCTAAAACATGCATTAGAAGAAAAATAAGGAGATAAAAGATTTAAAATGTTTTAAAATATTTATATTTTATTAACAGTATAAAAACCATTTTACTCATTAAAATATGAATGGTAATTTCTGAGAGTGATATTATTCGAATACGTTTATTATTTTTGAAAAAAATCTGTGTATGTTTCAGGAGGATAAGACAGGCTAATAAATAACAACTGTTAGTAACTAATTATTTGGGTAAGTTCATCCACGTAGCTAGCTAAGCAGGATAACTTTTTTTTTAAGATCCATATTTATTGAAAGCTACATCTGGTATCAATCAACAACTCATCACAGTCACTGAATCCAACAGCTTCTCTGCAAAAGGGAAGACACTGTCTCTCTGGATATAGATGGACATCACACACAACACAAAAACATCCAGCAGGAGGTGAATCTGATTTCAACCCACCCACAAGTTTTTATATAAATCCATTCCTTTTTCTATATGTGATTCTGCTTACCGGATGGTATCAATCCCTTAATTTCATATTTGGCCACTGTAGTCATGTTTCATAAGAGTGTGAGGAGCAGGGAGAAGGGGTTGGGGGGGAAATACTCTACGGTAAGGCTGCAATGGCAGATTAGAGACAAGTTTGTTACATGCCAAAAAGAAGAGTTTTTATTGGATTCTATAGTGGGCCACACACCATATGGCACTCCCCTACCAATCAAGACCTTGGAGGGGAGTTCTGGAGTTGAGAGGGTTAAGCTCTGTAGGACATGGTCTCTGGTCTTGGTAGCAAGAAGAGGGCAGTGAAGTACACTGCTTAACATAAATGTGTGGAGAACTGAAATGAAACCCTGGGAGAATGGTATACTGCTGTCTTTTAGTTTATAACAAGGGAAGTATCACGTCTAGTAGAGTCTAAACTTTAAGAGAACAGATTCAAAACAATTCAGAGAAAGATACATTGGCCCAAGCAAGATTTTCAATGGAATCAAAATTTTAAGATATTTGTTATGTTATCTACTGTGTACAGGGCATTGTGTTAGGCACTGGGAGAGCTACAAAGTCCTGCCCTTGTGTAATTCAGGGTCTAAGAAGAAAATGACACATACAGATGGCCATAATAACAGCCATGTCGGTGCAGTTAGAGAAGAGCAAAACAAAACATGTTGGAGAGGAAAAGAAGGGCAGAGAGAGGAATGGAAACATTACAAGGAGAGACAGTCCAAGGAGGGAAACGATTCTCTCAAAACAATGATGACAATTACAAATGACTTTAGATGGCAGATGGCATACCTATTAAACCATAAATAAGCATAAAATTAGGGCAATGAATACAATGAAAGACAGAATCAACACAAATACACAGAGAAAATTTTGATAGGGAGGAATGATATGGTATATACCAAGAAAACGAAATTTAATAAAGAATAAATCTTAAATCCTACACTTATGCTCAAAAAAGTCAACTGAATACAAGATGAGGGCTGAAAGGTGTAGAATCAGTAAGCAGTTTATACAGAAAAGCCTTCTCTCAGTCCACCGCAAACTAGTATTGTGACTGGGCACCTAAAAAAGCTAATACAATCAGGACAGATTCCAAAAAGTACTACACAGAGAACAACCACAAAAATCCTCCCACTGATCTTTATTCTGACCTGGGCACAATCCTGACTCCTGATTCACTAAGGATACATGAGTGGAGCACAAATTCTATCAAACAGAATACACTCTACCAAGGACAAAATGCTTCAAGTACAAGTGGGATCAAGTCAAGACGCAAAAAGGAAGCGCCTCCGTGTGCGAGGCACTATACTATGCACTAGGGATACAAATACACACGCACAAAAATCCAATCCATGTTCTCAAGGAACCCAGAGTCCAATGGGAGAGACAACACACAAACAACTATGTACAAAGAAGATACGTAGAGAAAATCAGAGACATCTCAGAGAGAAGGCACTAGCATTAAAGGGAATCAGGGAGGACCTCTGACAGAACATCAAATTTTAGTCGGGACTTAAAGGAACCCAGAGAACTAAGGAGGCAAGGGGCAGCTAAGTGGCACAGTGGAGAAAGCACCGGTCCTGGAGGCAGAAGGACGCGAGTTCA